TTAATACAAAGATCGAACACTCAGAAAAAATTCCTTCGATCCGGTCGGATTCGAACCGACGTCTTCTTGCATACCGTGCCAGACGCTATACCAACTAAGCCACCGAACGAACCAACGGACCTCACGAATTTTTCTATGTGCTTGCGTCGTGTCTTTGTACTTGGTCTTTCAACGACTTTTTAGTCGTAGCGCCATCTATGAGAAATCTATTACAGATTTATCACCCAGTTAGTACCTTTACAGCTACCAGTCCTGGCGAGAGATGTCGCTATTCACTGTATTAATTAAATTTTTTTTTTTTTTAATTTTTATTGAATTCAATAAAAATTTAATTGATAATCACAAAATCAGATATAATATTAATAATACGTTTCTTTGCCTAAAACATGGTACAACAGAAGATGTAATAAGAGAGTGCCAGTATTAACATGTTTCGCATATTAAACAACCATATATTAAACTACGACAACAATAAAAATATCACAAGTTACAAATTAAATTTGCCAAGAATTATAATAATAACTCTTACTGCACAAAGAAAAGATACATGAAACACAAGTTATAAAGGACATATACAAAGGTGAGCTTATCTCTAGAAGAGAAGTCTGCGGGACTAATTATTGTACAATAAAATTAAAATTCAAATGTGAGTAAAATATATTAATTTTTTTTTATTTTTATTTATTTACCTTAAATCCTATGCGAGTGTAAACGAGTTGAAGGCTGAGGTTCAGAATACGATTTGTAATACAATTCATCACAACACGTTATTAAAAGTTACTCAAAATGAATTCGTTAAAAGATTAAATTTGTGTATCCAAGAAAATGGAGCTCATTTCGCTAACTAATTAGTTAGATTACAATTTTTTTCGTTTTATTAAAATACGTTTAGATTTCATGGTTTTTTTTTTCATTTAATTAACCAATTTTGTGAGAGAGATTTTATTCTTATAATTATAATCGATCGATGCAATAAAAGTGCAGGGTGCATTTTTTTCAGATTAAAGCGGTTTCGATTCCCGCGTGTTGCTAGAAATTTTCGAAAATCTATGAATGCAGTTTTATTTCTTTTAAAAAATAAAGGAATGTTTCCTTGAAGTAAAAATTTCTATCTCCAGTATTTAGAGTACTTTCCCTCCAGGTGGCATTACAAATTTCCACAAATTTATACAGGGTGTATAAATATAACCAATATATATATTCATATAATGGATGATATGATACATATGACAGACATACACACCTACATGAACTTTATATACATAAATACATACATAAGCAGAATATATATTATAATCTAAACAAATTACTAGTTTATAATATATGTTACCTATTAGCTATTTAACGCGTTCGACAGGTAGTGGTCTTTTAATTTGTGTTTGAAAGATGCCACCGATGGACTGTCACGAATGCCAACAGGTAGTTTATTCCACATACGAGTTGCACTTACCGTGAAAGAGTTGTGGAAGAATTTCGAGTTGGATTGGGGATTTATTAGTGACTTAGTGTCACAGGTACGTTTTGGGCGGGATCTGGGGGATAAGGGAGAAAAACGGGAACACAGATAATGAGGAAGCTGGGGGTAATGTAGAATTTTGTAAAGGAGACAAAGAACGTGCATATCTCGGCGAAGTCGGATTGGTAGCCATTTCAACTTAGTCCGAAATTCAGAGACACGGTCATATTTACGTAAACCGAATATGAAATGGATTGCCAGATTTTGTAGGCGCTCCAGTTTGTTAACCAGCTCCTCAGTAGCATCCAAATAACAAACATAGTCGACAAGAGGAAGTAGTAAAGACTGAGCTACCTACCTTTGTATTGTACGGCAAGAAGAATTGAAGCCGCTTGAGAGAATGGTAGGAAAAATGCATGCGTCGACTAACCTCATTTACCTGCTGTCTCCAAGACAGTGTACATTCGATTATCAGACCCAGGTTCTTTGTATTATCAGCAATGCACGACTCACTCCATTATACCTTTACGAAACCTTGGCGAGATTATCAATGTCCAACCTACAGTAAAGTCTGTTGCTACCTACGATTATTGCCTGTGATTTCGTTGGGTTTACAAGCAAACCAAACGCATCAGCCCAAGACTTCACCACAAGAACATCTTTATTAATAGCTCCAATGGCAGTTAGGGTATTAGCTACATCAAAGTGTCTATAAATTTGCACGTCATCAGCGTATAAATGGAACGGAGGAGTTATTAGTTTTGTGAGTTCATTTATGAACAGCGAGAAGAGAAGAGGTGAAAGTACACCACCCTGAGGCACCCCTGAAGTCAAAGGAAACCATTCAGAATAAGTGTCATCATGCTTGATCCTTTGAAGGCGATTGCGGAGGTAGTCTAAAAACCAAGCGATTGCAGCAGGGGAAAAGTTAAGAGAGCAGAGAATGGCAAGAAGGATGTCATAGTCGACAGAGTTAAAAGCACTGCTGAAGTCCAGTAACACAATAATGGTGAACAATCAGTTATCCATGGCGTGGCGAATATCATCCGTGACGTTAAGTAAGGTAGTTACTGTGCTATGACCAGGACGAAAACCGGATTGATATGGACTTATAAGATCATAACGAGAGACAAATGAGAAAAGTTGTTTATGAACAGTGCCTTCAAGTGCCTTCTTCCTTGGACAGGAATGGTAGGATAGGAGGAAATTGGGAGAAAGCCGTGGGAGTAGCGGATTTAGGGATAGGAATGACATGGGCTAATTTCCAGTCGCTAGGAAAGACGCCAGTTGCAAGTGAACAATTCATAATGTGTGTGATAATTGAAGTAAGGTCATCCAGGATAGGTATCAGTATGTCACGGCAAATACCATCTTCACCCACGGCCTTGGAAGTAATGGATAGGATACTCTTCTTAACTTCCCCCTCAGTGACTTCGCGTAAAGAAAAAATTATTAACATCAAGATAAAATTTTACTTGTTACATTCTAAAATTTGCCTCTTTAATATGAAGTGAACAAACGAAAATGGTATGGATCCTATGTTTATATTCGACAGTCCTATGATTTCCAACCATTTTTACTTCCTTTTTTGATTTGTAGGTAACCTTTAAAAATAAAAATAATAATGAAATAATAAAAACCTCGTAGTCAATTGTTTTAATAACAGAATATCGATAATTTGTATGCTTACAAGAATAACACTATTTCAAATTATTCATTATCAACAGTCATCAAAATATACTAACAAACAGGCAATATGTAGTAACCAAAGCAAAAGTCGGCAAGACTTATGAATAAACTACTTAAATGAGTCTGATCACATGAGATATTTGAGCTATATATGATTTATAGACAGAAAAATAACACGGTGTAATGTAAGACTTGGTTGATTTCCGCTTTTTCTACTACCGCTCCCCTTAATACTGCAGCGACGCGCGTTTTATCAATACTTAATTGTTCTCACTGTCAATATTTTTGTCCATTACATTACAATTCATGCGAATAATTCACTAAAACATTTGGCGAAACATTGACATTTGATGTGCTTCAAAAATGGTAAAATGAGGACAGTTGGCATTTAAGATGACGTTGCGTATTTTCGATTCCCATGATCGACACAAATCAATGTTATGCAATGCATCTCTTTTGGGTTACGACGTCACACAATATCTAAACAAAGACCATAAAATGTTTATGTTTTCAACGTCTAAATGCATAATATAATGTCTGATTTATATTATGTCACTATAAAGTTTTTTGACGTGTCTGTGTGAAACAAAATCACTTGAATTTGTTATCTTTGCGAGTGGTTTTTCGTGAAACGAATTCATCGCCTGTACAAAACAGTTTTTGAGCAAATATCCTCATTTTAAATTGTTATAGTAGTCAACATTTTGAAACAATTAAGTACCTAGGTACCTACGCAATTTTACTGTTTTTAATAGTATTTGTCATTGTGCAATAATTTTTAACGTTTTCGTTGTGATAAACTGATAAACAACCTCTGTTACACAATTATTAATACAAAGATCAAAACACAAAGAAAAATATCTTCTTCTTTTTGTTAATGATTATAAAAAAACTAGTAGTACTACTATCTTAAAAACTACAACTGTTAATACATATCATTTCATTTTTAACCGACTTCAAAAAAGGAAGAGGTTCTCAATTCGACTGTATGTTCTTTTTTTTTTGTATGTATGTTACGCGATAACTCCGGTATTTGTGAACCGATTTTCATGATTCTTTTTTGTTGGAAAGGGGGTACTTCCATAGAGGTCCCATTTTATTTTGAAGAAAATTAGCCACCTCGAAGGGTGGCTATTCACGCATGAAGATTCATTTTTATAAATAGCGCCTAACTTTAATTTAGGAGCAATTATTTTAATGGTTGATTTTGCTATTTCTCCAATTCAAGGCGTTTTTCTCTCAATATACTTTGAGTAGTGAGAACCGATTTTTATTATCTCCAGTGTCAAGTCCTGTATAGTGGCGAACTAGGGGATATTTCAATAAAACTTGACAAACAGACGTAATTCCACATGCTTTTGAGGTCGGTTTTTTAGTACTCTGTACTGAGATTATATTATATCAGATGTGCAAAACAACTCACAATCACCTGCGCGCATATTCGTTATACAATTCAAGGTCACATCTTGGACGTATCGACGGCTAAGCGAAACGAACATTTCTAAACATGTTGTTATTACATTCTTTACTCACAACAAACAGAAAAAAAGGAATATTACTGATACAAATCTGAGCAAAGGTATGGACAAGTTTGTAGCAGCAAAGGTCTTTGTGAAAGAGTTCGTCCAGAGGACAGAGATGTTCTTGTCGCGGAGTTTATCGCGTCCACTTCCTGTCAGCAGCCTTTCGCAGATCGTCACCCCATCTGGCCGGAAGGCGTTGTACACTACAATTTGCCGAGTCGTGGTCTCCACTGAAGAACTCATTTCCCCCCTCAGTTATCGGTTCCTCGAGGGATATGGCCAGTCCATTGCCACTTTCAACGAGCTATGTCGGTGATTTTGGTTCTCTGTCGGTTAACTTCATCACAAATTTTATCCCCAAGTGAAATTCCGAGCATAGCTCGTTCTTAAGCTGGTGGACCAGCAGTATTGTGAGTGCTGCGTCTAATATGACTATTTGGTTTATAATCACTTTCACATTGTTTACGTTTAGTAATAGAGACACGAGTTACAAAACAAAGAAGCTTAGAATTTAAAATAAAACAGAATCAGAGACACGCGTCAAATCCAGTGGCACCGCTCGTGTTGACATATTCGAATATATCGACTCCGAGTTCATTGACTTGACTTAGTTGTGCTGCAATTAGACAAAATTATCGTACGTGTATAATATACAAAATCAAGCAGTCGAAAATTAAAAAAAAAAAAACCCTACTGGACCAATAGTACGAACATTGAAATAATAAATTTGAAAATTAAAAATTACAATATTAAATTGAACAACACGCAATTAAAAAACAATATCGACATTTTTTAAATAGGTAGGTACACAATGTGTTGATTTGCATCATCGCCATATTTACAGAGGTCATTCTATGTCCGAAACTGGGGGTCTACTCTCGATCTCCGTCCGACATCCGTCCGAAACAATTACTGCCAAATAAGCAATACTTGACCAAATGAAAAGACGCGTGATGCGAATGAAGCTTCATACTTGATACTTGTCTTTTAATTTTGTCGAATATTACTTATTTGACAGTAATTGTTTCGGACGGATGTCGGACGGAAAAAATAAAATTTCCTAAATTCTCATTTTTTATTTAATTGCGGTATTACATCGGGTCGCAATCACCTGGGGGTCTAACATAACCTTTCTAAAAACAATCTTATTTCAATGTAAGCTGAAAGTAAGCTTATTATAATATTACTCATTTTCGTACCATGACGAACCTATCAACCAAGTAATGTATTATTGTTAAAGTGACTGAAAGAACGAACGACTTCCCAATATTGTCTATTCCTTACTAAAAATAGGAAAGAAATATCGCTATATGAACTGTATAATGCCATCTCTTTCTTTTTTGATGTTTCAAATCGTCCTATCGTAGTATAATGTTAAAGTACTTAATATTATTTACATTCAGGGAATTTTATCTGCCAAAAAAGAAAAGTAGGTAATAATGAAATCTATTAAAATTACGTTGTTTTCAATTATTATTCCGCATTATCATGAAGAAAAATAAGTAAAACAAGCTGAGTCTTGATTGTCACGTTGTCAATTCCGAATTATAGTCTAGTGTCAACTGTTAGTTTCGCCAAGGAGCAATAGATGTCGCTGTCATAATTTTACGAAATACAACACTAAATCCAATAAACATCGCGTATTTTTATTTAATGAGAAATTATTTCTTATGTACGATTAAATAAAAATAAACACTGCCCTCCCGCGGTGCATTCTCTTTAGTGACAATTTTGTAAAACTTTACTAGATACAATAGGCCAGAATATTGAAAAGAATCTAAAAAAAAATATTTTTAGATGATTTAGCATTATTTCTTTTATTAATTTCTTAAATATGGCAAGAATGCAAATCAACACACTGTAATAGACGATACGTGTGTTTAATTTGTTTTATTTAGTACCAGTAAAGCTCCTTGTGAAAGAATTCGTCGAGGGAAGGACTGTCACCTTACCTATTTCTGCCGCCAAAAAGTAATGTCAGAATTATTGCGTTCCGGTTTTGAAGGGTGCTGGTGAAATTACAGGCACATGGGACTTGTCAACTTATGTCTCAGGGTGACGGGCGCAGTGGCAGTACCTCTCAGATCTTTGCGATTGAAAGCTTTGAGTGGACAGGAGTGTACCTTACCATCAGGCGCACGACTTGTTCGTTCCGTCACTTGATATTATAAAAGAAAATATTTTCAATTAATGTTTCTGTACTTGTAAATACCTCAGTGTCTGGTGTAGCCGTGTTTCGGCTTCGCTGCCTCCTATAAACATATACAATTAGACCTGCTACTCCTAAAGCCACAACGACCACGCCCAGACCTACGCTCACGTATGTCCATTCCGCTGGAAGGTCTTTTGGAGTATCAGTGGACGTAGGTTTTGACATATCTTGTAGTATTTCTTCTGACGGAGTAACTGTCGCCGTCTTTGGCTTGACATATGTGATCGCTGTTTGTTGTGTTGTGGTCTTAGGGTTAGAGACTGACCGGGCTCTTGCTGATCCTGAAATAATGGAGCTGATGTTGATTTCTATATTGTATACGGATGATATAACAAAATAGTTATCAAAAAGTGCTACATATTCAAAATCCTAATCTGTTACGTCAACCATTTAGGGGAAAGGTGTACCAGATGATCCTCTTAAGGGAGAATGATGGTAGTTTGGCCGCTCACGCGATACATGCAGTCGTAGACGCATACCACACCTAGAGGTGCCGGTGATGATTTTATACCGATTTATCGGATATCGAAGTTATAACAGGTAAAAGAACTAATATTAATTGCTATTTCGATAACTACTCTAGCAAACCATAAAGTTTTTAATGCCTGGGTCTGTCATTTAAAAAAAATAAACAACTTCAAAAATTCGTCACGACAATCGTGTGTGTTAATTGTTTGGGCTGGTGATTTCGGTGTTTATTTAGATACGTAGTAGCGTAAGTAGCGTTTTTTAAGTTTACCCTGAATATAAATGTTTATAAACTATACTTTAAGGAGTAATTTCATGGTAAACGTTAGAACCACTCGAACGGAATATTATCATATTTATTCAAGTACACCAAAAATTTCATTAGTGCTTTTTAAGTGCAGGATTTGCGGTGTATTACTGCATTTTATTTGAGATGTTTTTGTTGGTAATACGGACGGTATTTATTTAGCAATGCAGAATATTAATTTTTATTTATAAAAACTGTATTTAAACTGAATGCTTTTCTAATTTGCGAAACCAAATAGCCGCCATTTTGCGGTAGGAGGAGCGCATCGCGTGAGCGGTTAAAAGATATTCAGCTTAAAGCAGACGTAAAAGCGTTGAATGATAGAAAATTTATCTATTTACATGTTGTTTAGTAAAACGTTTTATTTTTTGATCTATCATTATTATATTTTCATATTTTTAAAACCCTACTAAAGGGCAAGACCTTGCCTTTATTTAGGAAAATTTCTAGTATTTGGTAGAAACAAATGAAGACAACAACTTTTAAGACTTAACAAAGTCCTCACTTATGTAATCTAGGTATATGAAACAACAGTTACGGAACTTCGAGAACAAATAATCCTAATTAACTGATATCTTACAGGTACCTAAGGGTGGGCGATATTGTTTTTTATGGGAAGTTGATATCCATCCTCGTCTCCTTTTCTTTAATGTACTTTACGAGCTCGATTTCCCGTTAAACATATCTGATGAACAGTGTTTTTTTTCACCTTAATATTTCCTTGAACTGACAGACCCATTATTTTTACCTTTAGCCCGTCTTTTTAATGGCATAACGCGTACCTATTGCGAATTATTTACTTGCCGATCTTGTGGCGTCCTACTTTTTACGCGTCTAGTTCTTTAGATCATAGTCTTCCGACCACCCACCACGAATGGTTTTTCTTTTACTATTACGCGGCCTGGTCTAAAACAAGAAAAAGCATTTATATTTGTTATTAATCGAGATCGATCATGTAAACGAAATCCAGTGTTCTACTATTTTATTCGTATTGCAAGCTATTTAATTAAGAGGTTTCAACTACTCAGAACAACATAGAAATTAAAAATAGTTCGTTAACAACATATACAGTACAAGATGATCCCCACGGACCATCTCGTACACCAAAATCATAATTATCTCGCCCCAATTTACTTAATTTTATTTTTTGTTCGGCGAAATAACCTGCATGCTGTCTACTGTTACCACAAAGCCACCAACACAAAAATCTTAGCAATTGATTGCTTAGAATGGAAGTTGCTCAAGCTTTTAATCAACTCTACCTTAGATCAAACTCACACAATTTTTATTTTTTTTCCACAAAAATTAACTCGTCACTCACATCGCCATTACGAATTGACTAATGAGAAGGCACATTGAGGCCTACATTTTACCGAACAAAATATCTAGATGACGTTACTAGATTCGCTACAATTGAAAAGGATCATTTTACCCCCAAGGATCATTTCGTACACCTTTCCCCTAATCCTTTTTTACGTAAAAAAATTATACTAATTTCTCTACTTTCGGTTATAACCTATAGGAATTCCTGTGACAAAATCTCTAGGAGCCTGGAATCCAGACTAAATCATGAGATATGCGTGTTAGGCTGCTAGCAGATTGACTGCGTGTTTGCAGTTAATGCGTATAGTTGTTGCCAACTTTATGCAGTCGAGGTCTCGGCAGGCAATCTCGACTGCATGCAGTAGGTTTCGGCTGCATACGGTTAATACGTGAAGATGATATCAATTTCATGCAGTCGAGGTTTTGGATAACGACTTTGAAATTTTGCATGCAGTTATTGCGTCAAATTGTTTACGATTTCACGCGTTAACCATGCAGATTTGTTGGCAGCCTTAGACTTTTAGGGTCAGCAATCCTGATAACTAACAGCTTATATTTATATGCTGTTTGTAGTTTAACTATTAAATGGCATCAAGTCCTCAACATTTTATGGAGCACTCACCATAATCGCCACAATTGGCAGGCGGGTTGGCGATGTCGTGGTGAATGTTCACTGATCCCACGGCGCCGACTCAACCGGCGAGAGGGAAACCCGGGGGGGTTTTAGTGGGGTAGGCCCTCAAGTCTGGAGGGACAGTCTCCACATAACCCCTGAGTCTCCCTGGGCTCAGGGGTATCGATAAAGATTTCCCCCGTCAAAAAAAAAAAGAAAGAAATAGGCGGGTTGGCGATCGTAGTAAATCTGCAATCTACAACCCAATCGTCATAATACCTTGTTCATACAAGAACAAAATTTAGAAGTTGCAAGATAGTAATCCTATAAAGGGAAGTAGTCCAATCATGACCGAGATGAATCCTTATAAAGTGACACCTCCTTATCTGTGACATGCCATAAAAAGTAACAACGATACCACAAGGAAAAACGTTCAAAAGACCAATCGTTTACCAAGGGTACTAACTGTCAAACTGGTAAAGTCTTTAATGTAAACAAATAACCGTTTAAGCTGAATAAAATTGATGTAATAATAAAGATGGTTTCGTGGTTTTAATATCAACATACCGAAGTAGACAAATTAACTTTCATCGCACTTGCTCGTTAATAGTATGATTGCCTGGTGGCTAACTTTCACAATTAAGGATTAAAAAGTTCAAAATTAAAACTTTCGCTTAAAATGTTACTAAACTTTAAAGAAATTTAATTGCAATTCACCCTTAAATAACTTAAATACTTATTACTAAGAATTTCTTGTAATTGATTTTGATTATTTTCTGTGCAAAATTTAGCAATATTTCTTTTATTGTAAAAGAAATATTGCTAAATGCCGTCGGCTGTCATGTATCTTTGCTTTTTTGCAATATTTTAGTTCGAGTTGTATTATCTTTGGAGCTAGCTGGCCATCTGTTGATAAAACAAAAACAAAAAGCCCGCCATTGTTGTGATGTGAACCATATTTATTCATACAAGAAATAAACATTGTATTTACGTCTTTGCGAGGAAATAATGTATTTCGGACGGTAAAAAAATACAGCCTCAGCCTTCGGTTTCGGGCTTTTAATAGACCCTTGTTAGTGATTTCTTGTTTACCGTCCTTAATACACAATGTACTACTTCCTTCTATATACTGCATATTATCTTAAGACAGATCTCGAGCATTTTGATCGCGCATATCCGCGCACGCACGCGTCATACCACTTCGTCTCCTCCAATGTCTGTACCCCGCGGGCGTATCGCGCACGAGCTAGATGACCCATGATAAATATTTATATTATAACACCGCATGCGCACTAGCATCACTACTCGTTGTATTACTGATAAATTATTGAGTCTGTAGGTACTTACCTATAACATTAAGTCTAACGTGACATATTTTTTCACGAATAGTCATGCGGTAGGAATATACGCCATCATATGTATCATATATTGTATCGTAATAATTTTGATCGTCTAAAAAGCAATCGAATTCTCCGTATAATGATTTTATCGGCTGAAAGTAATAAAATCAATTAAAATATAATTTAACAAAAAATACAAGTAAATGTACCAATTCCAGTTCCAGTAGATGGATATTTTTCAGAAAAAAATTAATACTTAGCGAAAAATAACCTAACAAACTTTATGTCCTTTGCAAAGATCAAATGGAGGTAGTTGATGTTAAGTAAGTATGCTTACACATGTTCTTTACGGAGTATATAAACTAAATCTTTCAAATATTATATATATATTTTTCAAATTATATATTTCTTCTTAAGTTATGATAGATTATGATTTGATAGATTAGACAATGAAATACTAGAAACGTTCAATGATTCCAAGATTGTTTTATGGTGACGTTTCCGATGACGATCTTGAATATAGGCCACCGCATCGCAATCAAACTAACCGTCTTGAGTTGGGTAGCAATTGAAACGACGAAGCACATATCGCATTGTGAATATAATAGTGTATTAACTCAAAAAGGGTATTTGTTCAGAGTCGATGAAAAACTAATTATTCTCTTCCTGTGAAAGATTTAGAAAAGAACATGTATAGGTTAAAGCTTATTGCAGATACGTAAACAATTTTCTACTTATCGAGTTCTTAGGTTTTCGCGATTGTTACACATAGGAAATGAAACTATTTTTCCGGATTTAAATCGCGTATATTTGTTTTTTCAAACAAACCGACGTTTCGTTAATTTTTTGTACTAGCCAAATATGTTTAAAAATAAAAGGGAAAGAAAAATTTCCTATATTTTTAAATTTTAAAAGTACATCTTAATATAGTGCCGTTGTCTTAATATAGTGAAAATCCAGTTTTCCTGAACAAATATTTTTTTCAATATTTTTCCCATACTTCCTAAAATATTAACAACAATCCCTAAAAATTTTATTAAAAATATTCTAATAAAAGGTCTCTGAGTAGGTAGGAACATCACAACATGTAATGACAACAATATGCTATGAATTATTAACAAAATTACTGTTGTTTTAAATTATGCGAATATATAATTAATCTATCAACTTATAACATCGATATACACAAACTGATTTAAAAATTAAAATATAAATTTCAGAGAATTTACTAAGTACTGTAAAATTAATTGAAATGTAATTTATGTATTTATAATATCACCCAAACTTCTTTGGAAACTTTTTAACTCAAGACCAATGTCCAAGTCATGTGATTTGGAAAGCGAGTTAGTTATACGTCCTGCGGAGCCTTCTTGGCATTAAGCAATAAATTATTAAACCAATAAACTACCATTGAGAGGGTATCGTTAATATTGTCATAGCCAACGTCAGTGAGCATTGTTTACAAGTATTTTATTTAACTGCCTCCGTGGCCGAACGGTTACCATGCCGGACTGCCACGCA